CGTCCTTGTACAATCCATCGCCGGAGTTGTCGTAGTCGAAGGCGGAATCGATGTCGTCATCAAGAACTCCGGAAAAAATTCGAATAAACTTGCAATTGAATGGTTCAATCACAGAGATGAACTAGAATCGCGAAGCAAATGTCAATTGTAACAAGAATCTGATGAAGAATGATGAAAACGAGAGATGCGAACGAGGCGAGAGAAAGTTGATGACGTGAAACACTCATTCGAGCTCAAAAAGACAAAATCGAAGCTCAAATTGTGCACGAAAAGATGATGATGATGATAGATTCGGATTGAATCGAAGAAATTTGACGTAGCGGAAGAGAAATTGATGAATTTTTGGTGAGATTCTTGTTAGATTATGTTAGAAATTTTTCCGAGAAAAGAGGAATGAGAAAAAGAGACTTTATTAATCTCTGATACCATATTAACTAAAAGAATGTAAAATATGTTTTCTCATTAACCAAAAACAAATGTCACTATACACATATATATAGAAGGAGGATTAAGCTAAAGAAGACTTAAAACCTCTTCTAACCGGCTAGTAAATCGACTAACTAACTAGTATTATAGCTTAATACTTGTCTAATTTCTTATTTGCATATGTTTCTTTTTTCTCCAATATCATATGTTTGACAAGTGACTTGATTGATAAGGCTTTTTGCTCAGCAATTGTAGTAATGTTCATGTTGGAGAAGAATTGCAAGATTCTAACTAGAACTCATGCCCAACAATCATGTGCATTTACAAGAGGTATTAACATTATTAGCTCTATAACTTAGTCTCTATTATCTCTTTTGTGAACTAAAGATATATAAATATTGATACCTTCTTTTTGCTCTATAATTTTCTTTAGCAAATATTTATGTGTACGAGTCCAAGCGAAATCGATACGACTACCTCTCCATAGTCCTGTACATAATATATCATTTTGACAAATAATCAAAAACTATAATTTATAGCATTCAAATGAAATCAGAAAGTATAATTTATAAACAATTACTTCTGGAATTGGACACTCTTCAGCCTCTTCTGCTCTTTCGCCATCTTGCTGTATTTTTCTCGCTTCTTCACATCGAGTTTTCGTTGGTTCAGTATATTTTTGCCTTTGTCCTTTCTGCCTCCAACGCTAATAGCACCGAAACCATCACTGTCGTCTTCCATTTATGTTGAATTTAGAGTCATGAAACTTAATCAACCATATCTC